GAGTGCATCACTCCCAGAGGTGTTCTGAGCTTGGGGAGATCCTTCCACTGATACCGTCCTTTTCCTTCATTTATCCCTTCCCACATTCCTTCATCCTTTACTCAGTGCCTCTTCTGTGCTAAGCTGTCACGGAAGCAGGCAGGATGAAGGCGAGTAGGACCCAGGTGCTACCCTTGGAGAGCCAGGAGTCTAGTGGAGGTGTCTGTCCTGTGGGCAGGTAAATTGTGGAGCCTCACCTGGTGGAGCCCTGCAGACATCTGAACAGAGAGCGAGACCTGTGTGGAGGGTGGCTTGAACCGTTTTCTCTGCCTGAGGGAATTTCTCTGCAGGAATTCCTCCTGCCTGAGGAAACACCCGAGAAGGTGATATTTCAGTGGAGTCTGGAAGGAGTTTATCCACAGTGGTGGGCTGGGGGAGAGCAAGGGTGGACATGAGTAGCCTAGAAACCTAAATCATGAACACGAATGTTTTCTCCTCGACTCTCTGAGTCACGGGCTGGATGTCATACTGGGCCGTTAAGCCCTCCAGGTCTTCTCTTTTCCCAGTTGGATTATTCCTGGTTTTCCCAGCCATTCCCCTTTGGCCTTCTTTCTAGTCTTTTTTTCATCATTTTCTGTGTGCTCTGGTTTATCCCCCTCAGTATGAGGCTCCGAACTGAAGCTGCTCCTGCAGGTGGGGTCTGACTAGTGTGGGACAGGGGGTGACCATCAGCTTCCTGGTTCTGGATAGCAGACCTTCAGTAATGTCGTTAAAGGGTCCAGAAGTTTCGGGTCCTTGCTATTTGAATCAGTGTATTTCCTGATTCCCCTCAGCTTTTGGCTGTTAGTGGGTTTAATAAGAAACTCGCCTGTCCTTATTCACAATGCAGGAGTGGTGCTTGCCCAAAGTACCACTCCCTTCAGCCACCAAGCTCTCTGTAGTTACTGCCACTTGATCAGAGGTAAACTCCTCTAGCCCCTCTCCATCCAGCTGCACGTCTCCATTTGTTCAGGAGCCTCCCTTCTCTTCGGTCTGACCTGCGGACCTCTCCCCTGACTTTGAGGATGGCAGCAGGTTAAGCGCAAGGTGGTCCTGCCCCTGCTCTCCCATCTGCCGGCTTACCCCACCATCTCCCCAGCACCCTGCTGGAGAGCGAGCCGAAGGGGTCTTGCACTGCAGCTGGTGTTTGAATTCCAGGTCGTCTGCAGTGTTTGCTGTGACATTACTTATAAAACTTATTTAAAAAATAAAATATCATTGCTGTGATATTACTTATAAAATGGAAGTCATTATGCTAACAGCACCATCTGTTCATTGTCTGCTGAGTGCTGAAAGCACAGGCTTTATCCTTTAGGTAATCTTGAGTAACAGACTTAATGCTTCTGGGCCTCAGTATTGTCCTCTGTGAAATGGGCACAGCAGTAGTACTTTCCTCACAACGTTATTGTCATAATTAAAGGAGTTGATTTATGTGAAGTGCCTGGCACATAGAAAACGCTCAATAAAGGTTAGCTATTACTACTGTTATTAGCTGTTACTACTATTATTGCTAATCTGCGTGACAGCCCTGCAGATAGAGTGTGTCTCTGTTTTATAGTTGAGCAAAGTGAGACTTACCAAGTTCAGCTAGTAGTTCAAAGCCACAAGACAAGAAAGAAGGCAGAACCAGAATTTGAACTTAAAAAAAAATTATTTATTTTTTATTTCTTGGCCAAACCACATGGCCTGTAGAATCTTAGTTCCCCAACCAGGGATCAAATCTGTCCCCCCTGCATTGGAAAGGTGGAGTCTTTTTTTCTTTTTTAAATGAGTAAATTTTTTTTTTTTAATTGTAGTGGTTTTTGCCATACATTGACATGAATCAGCCATGGATTTACATGTGTTCCCCATCCCGATCCCCACCTCCTGAAGGGTGGAGTCTTAACCACTGGGCCACCAGGGAAGTCCTCGAATTTGAACTTCAGTCTGTCTATTTGCAAGGCACAGATGCTGTCTTCTGTTCACATTGCCCCTTGTGGGATTAGTAACATCTTTTCTTTCTATCCTATGGGTTTGTTGCTCAGATGAAAACAAAATATTCATGAGGATTAAAAATTTATGAAATTTGAGGGCAAAGAGAGATGAAATAAGGGAAAGAAAGGTATACTCCTTCTGATTAGAAAAGTTTCTTGATTTAAGATAGTTGAAATTTCATTCCCATTATGTCTCTTTGTTGCTTTGATAAAAGAAGTATGTCCTAACACTAATTATATCAGACATATTAATAGAGGCAATTATGCTTATGCAAATTTTTTTCTGGTTTTGGATCTGAAAATGATTCTTCCACGATGCTGTTGGAAGCACTGAGTTTGGTTCCATTTTTTTTTTTCTGCCGAAGACCTAAAGTGCTTGAGAAGATGAGAGACATCTGCTTTTGAGATGCATAGTAATAGAGCAGCAAGTTTGCAATTTAGCATCTTCCCTAAAAGCAGATGTAAATGTTCCGGCCTCTTCATAATTATCCATTCTCTCTTCTTTTGTTAAAAGAGAGTGGGAGCTTTTTTTAAAAGATGGATTTCTCTTTTCGGCTGTGGTGGGTCTTCGTTGCTGCATGCAGGCTGTCTGTCACTGCGGTGAGCGGGGTCGGGGCTGCTCTTCGTTGTGGTATGCAGGCTTCCCATTGCGTGACTTCTCTTGTTGTGGAGCGCAGACACTAGCGTGTAGGCTTCAGTAGTTGTGGCTCCCGCGTCTAGTGGCTCCATGGCACGTGGGATCTTCCCGAACCAGGGGTGAGTCTTAATCTCCCTTCGGGTGCTGCGCTGTGTGAGAGGAAGTCCGTCTCTGCAGCTGTGAGCTCTCCTTTCACTCATTCAGAAGGTATTCAATTGAAACATGTCCTGCCTCCATCCACTTCTCACCTCCTGCGCTGTCTCCGCTCTGGTCCATGCCACCATCACCTCCCACCTGATGGTTCAGTAGCCTTAGGCTAGGCCCCTTGCTTCCATTCTTGCCCCTTCATCTGTCCTCCTTTTGGCAGCAAGAGTGAGCCTTTAAGCACTAGTCACCTCACTTTTGGACTCAGAATCTCCTTGAGCCTTCCCATCACACTTGGAGTGACACTGAAGGCCTCCAGTGCTCCTGGACCCCCGGCTTCCTCACCCACCTCGCCTCCTCCCGCCCGCCCTCACTGCGCTCCTCCCACACCCACCACCTGGCTGCTCCTTGAACTGCCACACACACTCCTACCTTTGGACCTCTGTGCTTGCCAGTTGCTCTGGTGGAACGTCCTGCCTGGCTCCAGGTAGCCCGAAGCCTTGCTCTTTAGTTCACTGAAGGCCTCCAGTGCTCCTGGACCCCCGGCTTCCTCACCCACCTCGCCTCCTCCCGCCCGCCCTCACTGTGCTCCTCCCACACCCGCCACCTGGCTGCTCCTTGAACCGCCACACACGCTCCTACCTTTGGACCTCTGTGCTTGCCAGTTGCTCTGGTGGAACGTCCTGCCTGGCTCCAGGTAGCCCGAAGCCTTGCTCTTTAGTTTTTTGCCCCCCCCCCCAGATTTCCAAACCCTTTTAGTGCATTCTTTCTGCAGTACTTACCACTCTGAAGCACTGTACAAGTGTTGATTTGTTTTGCCTGCCCACCATAGGGTGGAAACTTCTTAGGGGCAGAGATGGTGTCAGTTTTTTTTTCTTTTTTCTTTTTGATGTTGTTGTTTTAGTTTTTTTGGCCATGCCGCACAGCATACAGGATCTTAGTTCCCTGACCAGGGATCGAACCCATGCCCTCTTCAGCAGAAGCTCAGAGTCTTGTCCACTGGACCGCAAGGGAAGTCCTGATGGTGTCAGTTTTGTTCACGACTGCATTCCCAGGCTTTGGCACAAAGTACGTGCTCTGTGAACACTTGACATACTCGTTGAATTCCACCTGTTAAGAGAGTATCATGATGCAGGTTGTTCTGTCCTGGCTTCATGTCCTGTGTGGACTTTGGAGAACTTTATTTCTATACGCTTTTGCTCTCTTCTAACTAGACTCATAGTTCAGGTTACTTTAAATATCAAACTGAAACCTCTGAAAAGCGGATGTATCATATTTATAACTCACAGGCAGTGTTGTAATGTGGAGGTTCGCAGCTCTGTCCAAAGCTCCGTGATTGATTATCCAGGAAGGGGGGGCATGTGGACCGCCTGCAGAATTTAGGAATTATGCACATGGAAGTTTCTCTGCAGCATTTTAGTGTTAACTTTACTTGAAGCTGTGAAGTACAGTTCTGTAGCAGTCTAAGGGGAAACTTTGATCTCTGCCTGCACACACTAGCCTGTCCAGATTGCACTCAGAACGAGAACAAATCCAGGGACTGAAGGAAACCCAGATGACGCCCAAATCAGAAGATTTTTAATAAAACCCCAAGTAAAGGTCTTTTATTGTTTATAGTTCTTCTGCTGTCAGGGACACCAGTCATTTTCATGACACGCTGGGTGAGTCATGTTTTTCTGGCTGGCGATCACTTTCTAAGCTATATGAGTCCAGAAAATCTAGCTGTAGGTCATTGGAGAGACGTGTCACTTCCTGGCTGATGGGAGCGTCTTTGACTTCCTCGACCAGATGTTACTGTTAACGGTGTTCCCAACCAGAGTTTCCGTGTATGTGTGTCTGTGTGTGTGAAGTGTGTTAGTAAAAATGAACGACCATACACGGTGTGCAGGATTCTTGGAAATGCCCAGGAGTGGAAATAAATAGCATCGAGTGATTTCTTGGCACACGTGAAGGGTGTTAGATAAATGAGCCCAAATGTGACATTTGACTCAGCGCTTTGGGGGGCATGTGGACCGCCTGCAGAATTTAGGAATTATGCACATGGAAGTTTCTCTGCAGCATTTTAGTGTTAACTTTACTTGAAGCTGTGAAGTACAGTTCTGTAGCAGTCTAAGGGGAAACTTTGATCTCTGCCTGCACACACTAGCCTGTCCAGATTGCACTCAGAACGAGAACAAATCCAGGGACTGAAGGAAACCCAGATGACGCCCAAATCAGAAGATTTTTAATAAAACCCCAAGTAAAGGTCTTTTATTGTTTATAGTTCTTCTGCTGTCAGGGACACCAGTCATTTTCATGACACGCTGGGTGAGTCATGTTTTTCTGGCTGGCGATCACTTTCTAAGCTATATGAGTCCAGAAAATCTAGCTGTAGGTCATTGGAGAGACGTGTCACTTCCTGGCTGATGGGAGCGTCTTTGACTTCCTCGACCAGATGTTACTGTTAACGGTGTTCCCAACCAGAGTTTCCGTGTATGTGTGTCTATGTGTGTGAAGTGTGTTAGTAAAAATGAACGACCATACACGGTGTGCAGGATTCTTGGAAATGCCCAGGAGTGGAAATAAATAGCATCGAGTGATTTCTTGGCACACGTGAAGGGTGTTAGATAAATGAGCCCAAATGTGACATTTGACTCAGCGCTTTGTGCAGCTTGGCTGGAGTTACTCCCTGCGTGTGGGTCAGCCTGGTGGTTCCAGGAGGCGTTCTTGCACACGCGTGACCTTGGCTGCGCACGAGGAGATGGCAGTGCAGTCACGCGGGGGGGCTGCCGTGCTGGCTGATGGTGGCCTCGGCCTTTACATGAGCAGATTCCATCATGACTGGGAGGTCGTGGGGACACAGCCTCCCTGGACGCAGGAGTGGATATTCTGGCTGGTAGGTCCACGCTCTGAGCGCAGGGGCAGCGGGGAGACCCTGACCCCATGCCCCTCCACACCCCTGCTGTGTGGCCTGGGCCAGCTTGTCTTATCCGAAGCCTCTGAGGTCCCTTCTGTCAAATGGGCATGGTAGGGCCTGCTACCAGTGGGGTCACTGGGATTCTACTTCTGAGATCTGGGGAGAGAGGGAAGTAGTGGATAAAGAAGGGGCTGGGATTTTTGTGCACTAGGAGGGACAGGTTTATGACTAGAAAATAGCAGGGGAGCCAGGCCATGTGTTCTGAACCGGCATTGGAGCCATAACAGGGAATCCTGTGCTGGGACAGGGTGTCTCTGGCCCCAGGGGGAGGAAGGCTGTACCGATGGCTAAGGCATTCCTGCAGCTGAGGTGAGAACAGGTAAGGCCTGGGAGGTTGGGGGACTGAGGCCTTCCCTGTGTGTGGGCAGATAAAGGGGAGGGGGCTCTGTGGCCCGGAGGCACTTGGCCTGAAGCAGGAGGCAGGCTGTGGTCTGTCTCTTCTGACCACAGCTTCCTACCCAGGTGTACCAGCTGCCTCAGGCTCTGAACAAAGGCCAAGTGTGGATGCTGTCTTGACCTTGACCTTACTACGTAAGTCGTTAGCTGAAACCAATTCCTCTCTTCTTTCTTAGTATCCCGTGGAAATCAGGAAGTATGAGTATGACCCAAACTTTGCAATTCGTGGACTGCATTATGACGTGCAGCGGGTAGGTGTAATTCTCATGTTTTTCTACAGTTTAGCACATCAGGAATAAAATGTATTCTTGGTGCTTTTCTTTGCTGAATGCATAAATTGATTTGAAATTATATTCTCTGGGGCTGCAGAACTAAATTATCCAAAACACTTTTGGATGAAGTCTTTCTCAGGAGACTGTATATTGGAAGAGCCTGAATGCATTTAGCCACTGGGCAATACTACTTATATCCAAATAGTCATTTTTGATGTTTTGAGGAGGAGCTGGTTGTCATCTTTTTTTTTTGCAGACAGATCATTTCCTTAATGGGCTGCACAGTGCTTTAATTAGCAAGCAAACCTTTCAAAAACATACAGTGTGTTTCTTTGTGTACGACAACTTATGTTGATAGGATTCACAATGACACCTGGAACTTTCATTAAGTATGCAATTTGTGGTGCGTTAATTTACCTGTGCGTGTGCTTGTGTTTTTGAAGGCGGTCTTGATGAAGATTGATGCTTTTCATTATATCCAGCTGGGAACGGTCTACAGGTAAGAGTAAGAGGAGGTAAATTTGATCCCCTCCCCCTAAAGTGACCAAATTGCTTTGGCTTTCAAGACTCCCTGACTGTTCAGTGTTGGGACCCTGCAGTGTGTATCTGTAAAGCATTCATTCATTTACCCGCTCGCTGCATCTTTCAGGAACATTGATCGGGCCACTGCCACGTTAGGTGCTGATGGTTTGGCTTGTGAGGATGTCCTCAATGGGCTTGGAGCGTAGGTGGGAAGCCACACAAGGAAACCAGTGAGTGCAGTCCCCAGTGACTGGGCTAGGGTGGCCGTGTGCTCAGGCCATTAGGGGCCACTTCGGAGGACTCTGGGGAGGGCGAGCTCTCCAGAGACGATGCTGGCCCCCTGAGTGAGGGTCCTGCAGAGGAGGTGGGGAAGGATGGGGCGGGGCGGGGCGTTCCCACCGTGATAGTTGAGTAGTTTGGACATTGTCTCTTTTCCTCCTGTTTATTAGAATTAGTAGAAGTACTGAGCTCAGTGGGAGATCTTTGTAACTGAAATAAAGGGTTTTGCCTTTTCTAATTCTCGAATTTGGGGATGCTGTTGAGGACTGGTTTGTGTGTGTGTATATATATAGGTATGTGAAAGTGAAAGTGTTAGTCACTCAGTCGTGGTTTGTGACCCCATGTACTGTAGCCCACCAGGCTCCCTCTGTCCATGGGATTCTCCAGGCCAGAACACTGGAGTGGGTAGCCTTTCCCTTCTCCAGGGGATCTTCCCAACCCAGGGATCAAACCCAGGATTCCCACATTGAAGGCAGGTTCTTTACCATATGTATAAATATTTATACATATGTATAAATATTTGGTATTTTCTTTCTGTTCCTAAATAATGTGCTCATACTTCTGTTTCCTAATTTATTAATTCTGGGCATTGTCCCTGCTGTGAGGACTGAGGACTTGGCCCTCCCACACATGCAGCCCCATCTCCAGCCTCATTTTCCTAACCTCACTAAGATCCCTCTCTGGTTGCTTCACCATCTTGTTTGCATCATGATTCCACAGATTGTGTTCATTCTTAAGCAAGTAGTGCATTGTTTTCTTTCTTGTGCAGCATTTGGTTTTCCTCGGTTTAATAATCATCTCAGTTTTTATTTGCTTGGTTTCCTATGTAGCTATCTAGTTTTTTTCCTAAATGTTCCTTCACAGATATCAAGCAGGCATTTATTTCCCCACAACTCAAATGTTTTACATAATCCCTCACTTTTTTTTTTGACTACCGCCTCCTACTCTGATCTGCTCTGATTGCTCATCCAGGGACTTCAATTTGCTACTTTCTCTGTTTCCTGGCTCTCATCTCTTCCTCTTTCTAACTATACTACCTCATTTTGCTGGAGCACATCCTGCAGTAGCTTCCTGGTGCCTCCTATGGCTGAGTCTTTCTGGGGATCTGTGGTGGTTCATCAGTTCCTGTCTTTGGGGTCCCATTGCAGACTCTGTTCTCAGTGTTGTTAAGTCAGGGGCCTCCTTTCACCAACTTTTCCAAAAACATGTTGAAATGTCTTATGTGCTGATGTCTTTGCTCTCATTTCCTTTGACCTTTTGAGCAGTTTATTCTTTTACTGTCATTTTAGTGGTGTTTCAAGAGGGAGAAGAGGTGGTAGTGATGATGCAAATAATAATAGTAGTAAATAATAAATAGCAACTCAACAGTTTTGAGTTTTGCAGTGCAACAGATACTGCCGTAAGGGTTTTGAGTTAGCTCATTTGATCCTCAAAATAATCTTATAAGGTAGGTACTGCTATTGGTCCCAAAGATGTTAATAAGTAACTTGCCCAAGGCCACACAGAAGTAGAATTCAGACCCAGACAGTCTGGCTCCTGACTGTGCTCTTGGCCCATGTGCAGTGTTTCTGAATGTCTGAGAGTTAACTGGCAGTCTTCAGCAGATCTTTCGAATCAGTCCTTCCATCTCTGTTTCTGCCATCCACTCTTGGACTCAGACACTTACCCCTTCTCTCCTGGGCTCCTGTGGTTTTTTGCAGCACAGCCCCCAGACTGGATGTTTTGCTAGACTGATTTACCTAAAGCATTGCCTTCAACAACCCCCTTCTCTCTTCTGAATCCTGGATAGTTCCCCATTGTCTAAGGAATAGAGCCCAGATCTCCTAAATATTCCATCAGCCTTCTCTAAACCCTTAGCTTTCTCCTCTTCCATACACAGCTCTTTCACTTCCTCGATTGGTTAAAACTCTTGGTTGCAAGTGGCTGAGACTCAACTCAAGCTGGCTTAAACAAAAACCCAGTTTGGACTCACTAATGGTGTAGTCCAGGGACAGATCTGGTTGCAGGTGTAGCTGGCTCCAGAAGCCCAAATGGTTGTTGTCAGTGCTCTTTCTGTCTCTTGACGCTCCTCCTGTCTGGGTTTGCTCACAGCAGGCCCCTCCGCGTGGTGATTCCCGGCAGTACCAGGCTTCCACCCTCAGCTCCAGGTCAAGCGGAGAAAGGGGGTTTTTCTTTCTAACAGTTTCAGCCAGTCTCAGAGGGAGTGGATGCCAGATTTGTGCAAATAGCAGGTAAATACCTTTCCTCTGAGTTCTCCTTTTCACTGCTCTGCATCTGTGCAGGCTGGCATTCTTCCAGGATGCGGTTTTCCTTCCTCTCTGCTTCTTGAAATCTCACTCGTCCTTCTGCATGGCTGACAGGTGGCAAGGCCTTTCCTCACCCTCTCAGCTTGACATGGTCTTTCTCTCCTCTCTTCTGGGCCACACCATCCTGTGGCTCCTGATTACCTTGTTCCTTCTTCTCCAGATAAATTGTTATGTTGGGGGTATGGATTGGGCCGGGTAGGAGGAGCCACTGAGGCATTTAAAGGGGAAGGAGTGCTCAGGTTGAGGTCCTGGAAGGATGGCTGGGGCCTCAGTGCTGAGCGGGGGTGTGGCGGCCGAGGCAGTGGGGGTGCGTGTGTGACTCCGGAGTCACACTTCCTGAGTGTGAACCCCAGCCCTGCTGCTCACCTGTGTGTGACCTCGAGCCAGTTCTTGACCGTCTGTTTCAAAGCCTTGGTTTATTGCTCTCTAAAATGGGCATGATTCCAACACCCACCTCAGGGCGGCTGGTTGGACTAGAGCAGGCTTGGGACAGCATGCGTGCCGAGTTGCTTCACTGATGTCTGACCCTTTGTGACACTGTGCACTGTAGCCCACCAGACTCCTCTGTCCATGGGATTCTCCAGGCAAGGATACTGGAGTGGGTTGCCATTTCCTCCTCCAGGGGATCTTCCCGACCCAGGAATCAAACCTGGGTTTCTTACAGCTCCTGCATTGGCAGGTGGGTTCTTTACCACTAGCGGCCCCTGGGAAAATGTCCCTTTCCTCCTCTCTCCCCTCTGAAGGGGTAATGAGTGAGTGAATGGAGGGGAAGGGTGTGCACACCTCAGCCTCGCTCCCTTCTGAGCCCCATGCCCTTGCATCCCCCTTCATTGGGTGGCTTTCAGGTTACATGTGGGCTGTGCAAGTGAGCACTGCTGGGCCGAGGGGAAGACTGACTTCCCTCCACAGGCCTGTTCAGCACCCGCATTTCAAGTTCTCTTTAGGAATCTGGTGAAAAGCTAGGGTTGTTCCCATCATAGCCATAGCGCGGAACTTGGATGGTGCTTCCCATGCACTGGGTGCCGTTCTCTTTATAGCAACTCATTTAATCTTCTCAGCAGCACCAGGAAGTGGGTACTGGTTTTGCCACTCATTTGAAAAATAACACTAAGACCCAAAGAGGTTAAATTACTTGTTCCTTGTCCAGGTAATCCCTTAGCAGGTGAGGGAGCTGGGATTTGAACCCAGGGTAGACTCGTTCAGATCTGTGCTCCTACCCATTATTTCTCATAAACACACAGGGTGTGTAAAGTAATTTTCATTGTGACTTCAGCTTTGGTTTAGGCCATGTTCAGGTGCAGTTGACTGTCCATCTGAGCCCGGCTCCAGCAGGTCTGCATGTTGTGGGTACCGCCTGCAGCAGAATTCAGCTGACTGTGGCCCACTGAGTTCAGTGCATCTTTTGAGCTGGTAGTTGGTTATGTGGACCTTAAAGATGTGGCTTGTGTGGCCAGATGCCTGGAAATGTGTCCTGGAGGCGGCAGTGCTGCTGGAGGACTGGCAGTGTGGCCCTGGTGTGGGGAAAGAAAGGTAATTCACCCGGCAGAGTTCCTTTTTACTGTGTTGAGTCTCTTTCTAGGTGTTAGATCCTTCAGGGCGTGAACTGCTTACTGCTGCTGCTTTAGCCAGAGTGGTTTTCCAAGGTCACTGTCTAGAAGAAGCTGGTGTAGTCCCAGTGTCTTATCTGATTTCTGGAGCAAAGATGGAAGGGAAGCACAGTGCTTTTTTGTTTTCAAAGGCCAGTAGTTGTTTCAAGTTAATCAAGATTGGAGGCAAAATACCAGTGACTCCCCTTGGATATTTTTAAAAGTAAGACAGGAGTGGAGAATGGAGGAAAGAGGCTGAGATGATGTTTTCATTAAAGTTACATACCAAATATAAATTATGTTTTGTATGTACTTTAATATTGACTGAGTGATTTTGTGTGAGAAGCTGTATGAAGAACTGAAATTCGAGCTGAATTATAGCACAGTGTGGTATTGCCATCATTCATTCTGCGGTTTCCTCACCACTGGAGTCTGTTTCTCGGGTGCCTTCTCCTCTCAAGAAGGGAGTTGGGGACAGACATTTCCCTTCACAGGGCTCTGGAGGCGATTCCGGGGGAGGAAGTCTGAGACCATTAAGTTGCAGGTGAAAGCACCTGCTCACACGCAGGCGCCAGAGGCAGGGGTGGAATCTGGGCCGCTCACACTCCAGTGTTTGTTCCCTGTGTTCGGAGGAGCTGGGTTCATTTACAGATTCTGCTGCAGCCCCCAGAAGCAGGCAGATGGGGCATGTTCCCTCTGTTCTTACCGGTGGGGAACCTGGCCTCACTGTGATACGGCATTTGGGATCATTCCTGCTGGAGGTGGTGTCTGGCATCCTGACGTGGGGGTTGGTCTGCCTGACTCTGTGCTGACTCTGCGTCAGCACTGATCTTTTTAGGGTAGAACGTCAGAGGGCGGGAGAGTGGTGGGGACAGACCAGCCTCTCTCCCTAATGTAGTAAAAACATTAATAATAAAAAAAAAACAAAACAAAACCCACCCAAAGCGAGTCACTAGGAGACCGTGTGCCTGGTTAAAGGAGGCAGTGTGACGTGGTGGTCGCAGAGCCCAGGAGCCAGTCCTGACCCACCGCTTTCACTTTGGTGACCTTGAGCAGGATCTGCGACCTTCTGTGTTTTGGTGGCTTCTGCTGGAGAGTGGGAAGATAACAGTGCCTCACTCCTGAGTCTGCTGAGAATGAAGTGAATGACCGTGTGAAATTCATTTTTGGCACCCAGTAGGTACCACGTGGTGTCAGCTACTGTCTTTTCTGCTCTCACCACCAGCACAATGATGGTGGTGGTGATAGTAGCAGCAGCGTGCCTGTTATTTGTAGCAGTTACCAGTGGCATCACCTCCTGCTTCCTTGTGACAACAGCGTCTTGCACCTCAGTTGAAAAATTTCAGCAGTCACTGGAGGTGTGAATATCACTGCCGTCTCTAACTGATGCTAACTGCCCTGCCTGTGATTTTTCCAGAGGCCTCAGCGTGGTCCCCGATGAGGAGGTCATTGAAATGTACGAGGGCTCCCACGTGCCTTTGGAGCAGATGAGCGACTTTTATGGGAAGGTAATGAGAAATTATTTATTTAAAGTAGCCTCTCTTTTTCCTTACGAACTGCGGCCTGGTAGCTTTAGGATCTTAAACTACTAGACTCTCTGCTCACAAGGAATCAAGAAGGCAATTGGGGTTGTGTTTTGAGAGACCCTCGATTTGAGAGAGGTGAGTATGTTCGAGTCTCTCCTGGGTTCTTTCATGATTCTCCTGTCTCGGCCCTTCCTCCCTACCTGATGAAGGCTCCTTACACCTTCCTTGTAGCCCTCCCCTATTTGCCACCACCTCCCCAGGCGTGTCCTCACTTTCTGGAGAAGTCACTGGGGCCGTCATTGTAGCAACTGTCACCTCCCCTGAGATTAACAGCAGGACAGCACACTGCTCTGTGCCTAAGGGAGACCTCTGCCTTTGTAACGTTGGTGGTCCTCTTTGCCCTTAGAATTTTTGCTTCTTGTTTTATTAGATGCAGCCTCTTATTTGTGTTACCAAAATGCAAGGAAGAGGCCTAGTCACCTGGTAAAAACTTAGTTTTATAAATCGCACGTGTTCAGGGAAAGACTCTTTTCCAAGCTCCCACGTGGGCTTTTGAGGGGGTGGGAGTGACGGTGCTCAAATTCAGGAGAGTTAGCGGCTTTTTATGTCATTCACACGGGCAAAAATAAATTTACTGCCTTTCCTCTGTGTGCGATGAAAGAGTGTGAGCTGAAAATTGGATGGAACCCAAAGGAGAACAGAAAGGGAAGGCTGGCCAGACTTTCGAGGGGAAGTCAGGGCATTTCCTTGGAAAGCCCGTTTGCACTTAGAGTGAGACGTCAGCCCTGCCGCGAAGGACAGGAAACAGGGTGAACATTTTTTCACTTTTTTATTTGCATTTTTCTTTCCTTGTGGGGAGGGAGCCCGATGTTGATGACCAGGATCCCCTGGTGGGTGTAAAGCCTGCCGTGGCGTTGGCTCCCTTGCTAAAGCCTCCCTCCCTCTCTGCAGAGTTCCGGGAACACCATGAAGCAGTTCATGGACATCTTCTCCCTGCCCGAGATGACCCTGCTGTCCTGTGTGAATGAGCACTTCCTGAAGAACAGCATCGACTACGAACCCGTGCACCTGTACAAAGATGTCAAGGTTGTGTAGACATGGGGGTCACACGCTGCACCCCTTCCAGCTCAGAAGTAATAGGGTCTCTGGCTTCCACTGTCAGCTGCGTGTGTGAGATCGTCCTTCGTCTGGAACCTCTTTTATTTGCAGTTTAACCTTGGACATCCTAAGAAAGGGGTTAGGAGAATTGGAAATGAGTCAAATTGTTTGTTAAAAGAAGAGGGTACTTGTTACCTGGATGTCTGTGTGCATATACAAACCCACATCATTTAAATAATTTTGTATTTATGTATTTTAATTTATGTTCACATTTACATGTATTTATAATGCATTCTTTAAGCTGTCTGAGCTTTTTTCAGTACTTAAAAATGTGTTTATATATTGTTTATTTAATATATATTTTTAATGCATATGTCTAAGCATCTTTATATATACAATTTAAAAATCTGTCTTTTTTTTTTTCCATTTATTTCTATTAGTTGGAGGCCAATCACCCCACAACATTGCAGTGGTTCTTGTCATACATTGAAATGAATTAGCCATGGACTTACATGTATTCCCCATCCCGGTCCCCCCTCCCACCTCCCTCTCCACCCCATCCCTCTGGGTCTTCCCAGTGCACCAGGCCCGAGCACTTGTCTCATGCATCCAACCTGGGCTGGTGAAGATCTGTCTTTTTAAAGGGGCTTCCCAGGTGGTGGAGTGATAAAAAATCCACCTGCCAATACAGGAGGCTCAAGATTCTAGGGTTCAATCCTTGGGTCAGAACAATCCCCTGGAGAAGGAAATGGCAACCTGCTCCAGTATTCTTGCCTGGAAAATGCCGTGGACAGAGGCGCCTGGCGGGCTGCAATCCATGGGGTCCCAAAGAGTCGGACGTAGCTGAGTGACTGAGCATGCAGTTGTAAAAGATCTGTATATACATACTACAGTGTTTTTATTATGTGTTCATGACTAGGTTTAAATATTGACTGCCTCAAATCATGGGTTTTCGAAAATACAGGGTGAATTGCAGTTTCTCAATATCGGTTTGGTATGGTTTTAACTAAATTTAAATCTTTAGTTTCCAGTCTCTGTCTTGGCTCACACAGATACTTCATCTTTAAGAATTTTTAAGAATTACTGGAGTTCTGTAACCCTTAGCATTCATGAGGAGGGTTGTTTACTGCAGAGTTCAGTTTTTACTCTGAAGTGTTAACTGCCACACATGTGTGTGAATACACGCAGGTGGAGTTTACTGTGTTCCAGGCACTATTTTTCTGAATGCTATATGCCTATTAATTAATCTGATCCTTACAAGAATGCCATGAGATATCATCACCTTCATTTTACAGATGGAGAAATTGAGGCACAGAGAGGTTGAGTGAGTTGCCCAAGGACTTCCTGTTAGTAAGTAGCAGAGCCTGGATTTCTGGCCAGGAAGCTGGGCTCCGGCTTGCTCTTAACCACTTCCTTCTGCCGTCGTGCAGTTGAAACAGGCTTTTGCTGGAAGGTAATTGAGGGTGAGTTTACAGTCAGGAGCTGCTTGTTCCTGACAGTAAGCACCTATCAGTTTTCTAAGGCTTTGTGCTCGTTATTTAGTCACTAAATCATGTCTGACTCTTTGGCAACCCTGTGAATTGTGGCCCACCAGGCTCCTCTCTCCGTGGGATTTCTTATGGCCCAGCTTTTCCTGCAGCCCAGTCCTCTGCTACAGGCTCCAGAGAGTTTCTGTGCGCTTCCAGGAGTGCCCCGCTGTGTAGTAGACCTGCTCAGAGCCCCCTGGGAGCAGGGCTGTGCTTTGACACCTGCCAGGCATCAGGCTGCCACTCTGCCAGGCTCTCCCTTGTGTCTGCCTGCTGGATCAAAGCTCTGCCTGCGTTCCAAGTTCCTTGACAGTTCCTGGCCTTTTTGGTAGCACTGAAGAGAGGAGGATCCTATCCTATTGGTCTCTGCCTCTTTTTTTAGGTCACAGAGTCTGTTGTTGGGGTCCAGAGAAGGGTGCAAAGATGAAAGCAGCAGTCCTTCCCTTTGTCGGGGTGACCTGAAATTACCTGGCCCTCATATGGCATATAAATGACTATTTATCCTGTGGAACTTCATTCAGAATTGTTCACACAAATTGTCTCCTCCAAGTGACTCTTTCGAAAATTGCACTGGAACCTGCTGCTATCACCATGGAAACTGAAGTTTCTTCCTGCCCATGATAAATGGACCAGAATTTAGATTTCATCTAGTGCCTTGGTTGCCAGACTCTGCAGACAGATAATATCCTAAATGACCTTTCGCTTGTCCTCTCACTCAGACTATCTCAGTTATACTCAGACTGATTAAAAACCTATCTTTTGACAGGATTCAATTCGGGATGTGCACACCAAAGGAATCATGTACAGAGCAATTGAAGCAGATATTGGTATGTACCAGGTATTACGTGAAGATCTACATTTCCTTTTGCTGTATAATTATGTAGGCATTTTACTCTCACTCCACGCCTGTACCTCTTCTTTAAAAAAGAATAAACTTATTTTTGGCTATGCTGGGTCTTCATTGCTGTGTTCAGTGTTTCTCTAGTTATGGCGAGTGGAGGCTACTCCAGTTGGGATTCGACAGCTTCTCATTGCAGTGTCTTCTCTTGTTGTGGAGCAAGGGCTGTAAAACACACAGGATTCAGTGGTTGCGGCTCATGGGCTCTAGAGCGCAGGCTCAGTAATTGTGGCGCATGGGCTGAGTTGCTCTGTGGCATGTGGGATTTTAGCTCCCAGACCAGGGATTGAACCTGTGTCCCCTGCGTTGGCCGGCAGATCCCTAACCAGTGGGCCACCAGGGAAGCCCCTGCGGTACCTCTTCTGAGTGCAGGGCAGGCACCTTGCATCCTTGGACCTCACCTGTCTCCTTCCCTTTTGTCTCAGAGGTTGACATAATCCTGACTCAAGTAGAGGAGTTGGCAGTGTCAGCCACGTAAGTTTTTTCTGCTTAGACTGAAGAGGCAAGGTCTTGGTTACTGATTCACTGGGCACCAATATACCGACTTGAACCAGGCTTCAAACCTGAAGGCTTTTCTCCCCTCAAGTGCCCCAGACAGTGCTGGATCCATCTGCCCCCCTTAGGAAGCGCTTGCAGGTTGGCTGACTTCACCCTGAAACCCTGTGTGCGTTTTCCTCCTGCTCTTTAGAAAAGTACATCTGCTACGCTGAGCAGACCCGTGCGGTGTTGGCCAAGCTGGCTGATCATGGCAAGAAGATGTTTCTTATCACCAACAGCCCCAGTAGCTTTGTGTAAGTTCTTCTGTGTTTCCTGCCTAGTTTCTGGCTCACTTCCAATGTTCTATGTATTTAAATAGTTGAAAATTTGAAAGAAAAAATTGCAAGGTTAATCCTTTTAATGTTAGGCTAACCTGGCTGCCATGTCGTTCTAGGGACAAAGGGATGAGGTATATTGTTGGAAAAGACTGGAGAGACCTGTTTGATGTGGTCATCGTTCAGGCTGAGAAGCCAAACTTCTTTAATGATAAGCGGAGGTAGGTGTCTGTCTTTTTAGGGACCAGATTTTATTCATCTGATGCTCTGAATACTTAACTGTGCCTTGGTGATATTGTGATAATGTGTCTTGGTGAAATACAATTGGAAAATCACAAGCATCTGACATCATAGCTTTTGATAGTTAATAAACCTCCTATCAAGTAATTGGAAGAAAGGTAAGATGGGTGTGTACATAGCAGATAGCTTATTATTGAAACAATTCTTGATTTAACTCAGGCTATGTCAGTCCTATGAGTCAGTCTTTAAGAAAATGATGGACAGCAGTTAAAATCCAAACTTAACATCACATAGTAAATTAGATCTCTCTATGCGGACACATTGTGAAGTGTAACAAAATGGCAACAACAAGCCACCTGGTGGTTAAATAGAGCTCTAAATGGTGCACTGACAAATGTCCTTAGATTTCGCAAAGCTTCTCTGCAACACAGGTTTTGCATCAAATGGAGTAAATCTCTACCCAGACTTAGATAAAGACTTTCTGCCATGGTAGCTTTGGGAAATAGAGGCATGGGAGTTTGGGTTGTGCTCTTAACATTTCGTGGCAGGTGTGGTGAGGGTAGGGTCAAGTGTCCTAAAGTGTCTTTTTAACATCCGGGACTAACCTGTTCACCAAGCGTGTATTATTCGCTCAGTCGTGTCCGACTCTTTGTGACCCATGGACTGTAGCCCAGTCTGCCACGATCCTCTGTCCATGGAATTTTCCAGGCAAGAATACTCAAGTGGGTAGCCATCCCCTTCTCCTGGGGAATCTTCCCAAGTCAGAAACGAACACAGGTCTCCCACATTGCGGGCAGATTCTTTACCGTCTGAGCCGCCAGGGAAGTCATCGTCCCCAAATGTCAGTGGCGTTGAGAGGTACTGCACTGGGTTACAAAAATGATTCCTGTTTGTGGAATAATGGCCTACATTTGAAACACTTTTACCCACATTACTCTGTCCTGCAGTAGGTAGTGTGCAGTCTTCCCCTCTGCCAGGTGATTTGTTTTTTAACAGCATCACTATATCCATTCTGGGATGTATCTTTTTTTTTTTAAAGTTCTTTTTGAGGACCATTTTCAAGGTCTTTTTTGAACTTGTTCCAGTATTGCTTCTGTTTTATGTTTTGGTTTTTGGCTGCAAGGCATGTGGAAACTTAGTTTCCTGCCCAGGGCTGGAATCTGTACTCTCTGCATCAGAAGGCAGAGGGTAATGTCAACCTCTGGACTGCCAGGGAAGTTCCTATGTTAGGTGATTTAAAGCATGACAGTTCGGTGTCCTGTAGTCAGTGTTGAGTGGATTAAATTCCTCTTGTGATGCTAAATTCCAGTTTCCTGAGTGTCACAGTGACTCCTGGAAGAAAAGGCAAAAACCAGGAACCATGTGCAGAGACTGAGAATTTAAGAGAATGCTCCATCTGTGGGGTTGGGAGTTAGGTGTAGACGTGCCTGTAGCTGTCATCACTGACTGGCTGCTTCATCACTGATAATGTGCTCCCTGGCCTTTTCTCTTTGGACCTCAGGGAGGTGGTCAGGGGAAGGACCTCATCTCCCCTTTCACCATGGACCTCCCTCCTCTGTCGTATTTATACACAGTGGCAGGACGGTGTCTTAGATTATTAGATTTTCCCTGGAGGAACCCAGCACAGCTATCATAATATGCCTGATTCTCTGATGTGCCTTATATCTAGACTGGCTTCATTTCAAATACAAAGCTGGATGAATAATAAGCAGTATTTCTATAAGCTTTATTTTTTGTAAAACATTTTCTGCATGGTTGAGTAAGTTTAGAAAATTTGGTTTAAAGAAAGTTTCTTTGTAGGAGGGCTTTTCAGACCCATCAGTAATTTTTAAAGAGGGACATGTCTAGCTCACAGTGTTTTCCAAATTCATCTGACTCTGGCGTTGGGTTTTCACTACCCCTCTCTGGATCCCGTGGTCTGCAGCATGGGATGTTTTGCACAAGGCTGGGGAATGAGGCTGGGGAACGTGGTGGTGGGGTTTGGTTTGGGTTGTGGGGCTCATTTCTCTCTCCAGGGGGATAACCGTCGAGTTTTTCATCCAGCACACAGCCTGCACTGCTACCACACATGGTAACATTTCCTGTTTCTGTTATTAGACCTTTCCGAAAGGTGAATGAGAAAGGTGTCTTACTCTGGGATAAAATCTACAAGCTGCAGAAAGGCCAGATTTACAAGCAGGTATCTTGTGACCCATCTGTCCTTTGAGTCGATGTGATTTGTGATCAGTTATAATGATGTCATAGCTGGCATTCACTGAGGCTCACTGCGTGCCAGGCACAGTCCTGGGCGCTCTGCTTGAACTGACTATTTATAACTTGGTGGCAGAATTTAAGCTTAAGTCAATATATTTTCAATGTGCTCTGTGTGAATTAACTCAGAATTGAGCAGCTTTTAAAAAAATATTTTTTTAAGCATTTTTTCTGTAGGATATAAAATTTAAATGCTAAAATTTAGAATGCCAGTAGTAAAATAGAAGTTTCTCTTTAAGAAGTGTGGCATCAATTACATAGCATCTTATCCCAATTAGTAATTATTTCCTGATGAACTGTGTTTTAGGTACAGTTTTTATATATTTTGGTTTCATATAAAGCTCTCCTATGTTGAGTAAATGATTGAACTGCTGTCCATTTTTGTGTTACTGAAATTAGTTTTTTTAATTTTATCTTTTAAACATTTTATATTTGTATAATATTTATAATATAAAATCACAGAACAGCACTATATAGTTTTTTAAATACTGTGTGATACATTCCTCATATAACATACTGTCCAACTGGTACATACCTGTTGTATATGTAACAGACTGCTGGATTTGGCACTCAGTATGTTTTCTAGGCCTGAAAGATTAGCTTGGATACAGCCATTCCCCATCTAGGAAGCTAGCGGAAGAAAATGATTAAGATGTAGCTAGCTGAAGAAAACTGTTAAGAGGTAGCTAAAGCTTTGCTAAAGAATGTTTATCATGATGTTACTTACAAAATAGGTAGCAAGGTAAATGTCTAGTATCAGATAATTGATGAAATGAATCATGGGTAGGTCTTAGCTGCTGAAATTACATGGCCGGTGAATACTTATTGACATGGTCAATAAATGACAGAATATTAAATGTAAAACACAGGCCTTTTACCTGTCATATAATGCAATATAACACCCATATTTTTCTGTTATTGCAGGGCAATTTGTATGAATTTTTGAAGCTTACTGGATGGAGGGGCTCCAAAGTGTTGTATTTTGGTGACCATATATATAGTGACCTGGCGGTGAGAAATCTTATTTCCTATTTCTTTGTTGGGTACAGTGTTAGGCCCACTTATTGAGGAGTTTATCTATTATTTAAGACTATTTTCATACTTTCATAAAAATGAGGACTGGGCCACATTTCTTGCTGTTTTTTTTTAATGTCTCATATTTTACCAAACCAAATGGATCAGAGTCATGAAATAGAGGAATTTTGGGGAAATGATGGAAATTAACAATTTACTCAGGTTATCAGAAAAAAATCTTTACTCAGAAAAAAATCTTTCAGTTTAAAAAGCTAGTAAATAAATGACAGTGTTTTTTCCTTTTCCTTTCTTTATTAAGCATCAGAAACATTCAAATGCTCTGTAAGAGCTTGTAAACATCAGTCTGGGTTTCTTTTGCCTGATAGTCATTTTGAAAGAGTACGAAATGTAAAAAGCACAATAACTATTTCTAGGAAATGGCTATTATGTGAAAATGAGGCTTTCATGCTCTTTGGAACGACTGGAGTGTCTCAGGACTTGAATTATAACTTAATTTATAATTGACACAGGAATGAGTGAGTCACACTTATTACCACCCTTGGTTCCTTGTGGAATGAATTTATGTATATGTATTTATATATAAATACAATTCATTTATACGAAGAGTGAAATACGTGAATGTATACAAACGTGCTTAGTAAAGTAGAAACCTAGAGTGCTCCTGTCAGGATGCTGGCACTCCCAGGATGTCCGGCCAAGCGACGTGGCATCATAAGACATACCTCTTGCTGTGTGGTCTGTGGGCCTTGAGGAGATGACTGCGCTACCCTGGAGGCATGTGGGTACATGACCCCACGAGGTCCTCCCACACAGACAGGTCTTATGCTATGAGAAACTTCACATGGCAGTTGTTTGTCCAGCGTGGTCCCTGTGACATTGGCATCACCCGGGAACTTGTTCAAACGGCAAATTCTTGGCCTCACCCCAGACCTACTGAGTTACAAAGAAGCTCTGAGGTTGGGACCCAGCCATCAGTGTTCTCAGCTTTCCACGCTAAAATTTGATGTCATGATGTTGCTGGCCTCATGGAGTGAGTTAGGAAGTGTTTCGTCTTCCTCAGTTTTTGGAAGAGTTTGAGAAGGATTGGTGTTCATTCTTTTATGTTTAACAGTGAAGCCATTCGGTTCTGGACTTTTCACTGTTGGAAGGTTTTGGATTCCTGATTCAGCCTTCTTCCTAGTCAGAGGTCTGTTCAGATTTACCAGTTCTTCATGATTCAGTCTTGGTAGGTTGTGTGTTTCTAGGCATTTGTCCATTTCATCTCGATTATACAAGTTGTTGGCATACAGTAGTTTACAGTACTCTTTTATAATCTTTTTTTAAAATCCGTAGAATTGGTGGTAATGTTACCACTTACATTTCTGATTTTAGTAATTTGAGTCTTCTTGTTTTCTTATCAAACTTACTGGTTTGTCAATTTTGTTGATTCTTTTTTGAAGAACCAATTCTTAGTTTTATTGATTTTTCTTTGTTGTTTTTATATTCTCTGTTTTATTTATTTCTGCTCTGATCTTTACCGTTTCTTTTTGTGCTGCTAGCTTTCAGTTTAGTTTGTTATTTTTCTAGTTCTTTTAGATATAAAGTTAAATCATTGTTTTGAGATCTTTCTTTTTCTATCTAGATGGCTAGAGGTGTTAATTTTCATTTTAGTCTTGCTTTTTTTGTATCCCATAAACTTCGGTATGTTCTGTTTGCATTTTAATTTGTCCCAAGGTATTTTTCTAATTTTCCATGTGATTTCTTCTTTGACTCATTGGTTGTTGAAGAGTGTGTCTTTTAATTTCCACATATTTCTGAATTTTTCAGTTTTTCCTTTTGCTGTTGATGTCTAGTTTCATTCTTAATGATAAGAAAAGATATTTGTATGATTTCAGTCTTCTAAAATTAATCAAGACTAGTTTTGTGGCCTAAAATACAGCTGTTGCTAGAGAATGCTCCATGTGCATTTGAGAAAAATATTCTGCTTTTGTTGGGTGGAGTGTTCTAATTGATCTGTGGTGGTGTTCACGTCTTGTATTTCTTGTTTGATCTTCTGTCTCCTTATTTTGTCCATTATAGAAAGTGGGCTATTGAAGTTTCCTATTATTATTGTAAAGCTGTCCCTTGTTCCCTTCAGTTCTGTCAATGTTTGCTTCATGTATTTTGGACTGCTGATGTTTGGTTCATACGTGCTTTTAATTGTTATTTATTTTTGGTGAATTGACCCTTTTATCATGATGTAATGTCATTCTTTGTGTCTTGTAACTATTTTTGACCCAAAGTCTATTTTGCCTGATACTAGGATAGCTGCTTTTGTTTTGGTTACTACTTGCCTGGAATGTCTTTTTCAATCTTTTCACTTTCAACTCTGTGTGTTCTTAGGTCTAAAATAAATGTCTTGTAGACAGCATATATTTGGATCCATCCTAGAGTTAGAAAACCACTGTTTTAAAGTGATTAGACCAGAATTGATTAATGTGTCAGAGATTGTGTGGGCAATGAATAGTACCCTTCAAAGGAATCCCTTGAGAATGTAGATGCTTCCAATGTTACTGCTGTTTCTCAAAATAAATTTAGATGCTCCCTTTGGGATATATTTGAGAGCTGACTTGAGGCACTAGAGAAAATTAATCCCATTATCATTAATTCATTGTCATGTACTTTAGCCTTAGGAGTGTTCCAGTTGACTTTTTACCGCTTGTCAGATATACGATCCATCTTCAAAAGTTTGCCACTGCTGGGAATATTTAGAAGACTATGCTGTATGTAGGGTTTCATATATTTTAGGAGAAAGAGAATTATTGAAAGATTTAAAGACATTCAACCATGGAAGAAGGTAGGCATCCTTAGGACGTGTAGAGCAGGGATTCTAGCTTTAGGGGAGTAACCGGAGTGAATATTTAAAATAGTAGACTCTATACCACTTCCGTCTTTAAAAGCGCTCTCCTTAGACGTACCCCTGTCTCCCTTAGAGTACAAGCCTAGCTTCCTGCGGCCGCTGCGCTCCAGCCGGTCCCCCTCCTCTCTGTCGGAAGGCGCCCCTGCCTCTGCCCTGGCTCCCTCTCTGCCTTTGCCTTTGCCCAGCACACCCTGCTCCCAGTGTGGTCCTGCCCCGGGGCCTTTGCACTCGCCCTTTTCCCAGCCAGAACTGCTCTCCTCCCACGCATTTATGTACTTTTACTGTCCTTCCCTTCAGATCTCTGCTTGAATGTTCCTTTGTTAGCCTGGCTTTCTTACTCACTCTCTATAAAATGGTAACTCCTTATTTTGCTTGGTTTTTGTCCATTGTGTTTCTTACCACCTGCCATTGTGTATTTGCTTGCTTACTTTTTTGGTCCGTATTTCCCATGAGAGCAGAGGTTTGTTATTTTTGTTCACTGTTTTATTCTCAGTATTTAGCTCAGGGCCTGGCAAACAGTAGTATTTAATAAATGTTTGTCAAGTGAGAAAATGAACAGCCATTCACTATGGTGATTGTATATCTTAGATTTGCTAGGACATAACTTATATCAGATATTCTGGCTTATTGTCGTATCATAGGAGTCCAATATTTGGAATGAAGATACGATCATGTATGTTGGTGATCATTCCAAGTCTGAAATTTCCCATAACCCAGGAGGCTTGGCATGCCATGGGTGTTCCCCAGTGTTCTGTGGGTGGATTGAATAAAAACCTTCAGTAACATTTCAATTGACCCTCCTTCTGCCCCTGACCTAATTGTTCTTTTAGAGACTGTGGTTAAGGATTACAGATCCTGTGTTTCTGTGGGGGCTGTGACTCAAGCAATTATTTCCAGAACAGAAACTTTCTTGGCGGGGGAGGGGGGAATGGCCAAAGCCTGGGGCTAAATTAATTAAGTGTAATTCATTGAGTTTGGCTTGGTTAATGACCAGCCACTACAATTAAAGTTAGTTCAATGAATGCCTGTTGTGTCTGGGAAAGGTAATGAAATGGTTTAAATTCTGTTGTGATGAATGTTGACTTTTTGTGATCTTTGCAATCAGGACTTGACCCTGAAGCATGGCTGGCGAACGGGTGCAATTATCCCAGAATTAAGATCCGAGCTCAAAATCATGAACACGGAGCAGTACATTCAAACTATGACCTGGCTACAGACCCTGACCGGGTTATTGGAGCAGATGCAGGTTTGGAATTCTTTTTCTCTCCTACTTTTTCTTTTTTTTTTTTTTAAATGAAGAATTATGTATTTATTTTTGACTCTGCTAGGTCTTCATTGCTCCGTGCGGAATTTCTCTAGTTGTGGCAGGTGGGGGCTGTTCTCTAGGTGCGGTGCACAGGCTTCTAGTTGCGGTGGCTTTTCTTGTCGTGGAGCGCAGGCTCTAGAACGCACAGGTGCAGTATAGTTGTGGTGCACAGGCTCCTCACTGCGGTGGCTTTTCCTGTCGTGGAGCGCAGGCTCTAGAATGCATAGGCTCAGTTATGGCATACCGGCGTAGTGCCTGCTCAGCACCTGGGATTTTCCTGGACCAGGGATTGAACCTGTGTCCTCTGTGTTGGCATGTGGGTTCTTAACCACTGGGCCACCAGGGAAATCCTCCCCTACTTTTTCTTTAAGCCTGAGGTTAATCCACTGATCAGAGTTATTTCAGATATGTTTCTGTTCAGTTGTGGTCCTAAAGTATAAGGCAGAAGTCATCCTACAGAATAGCCACTGGAGTGGTTTTGCCCCTGAAAGAATCTTGCCATTTTCCCTAAAACAGAATTTTAGAAATGACTGCCAAAGCCATTTGGAGAAAGAGTTTTGTGGGCCCATATGGGGCATTTCAGAGTCCTCACTTCTCCACCCAAGCCCCACTGGGAGATATTCTGTGGGTGGTGGGATTCGAGAACCTCTGCCTATTGTTTGGGTCCAGTCCTGCTGCTGCCTTTAGCGTGCTGTGGGACTTCTCCTTTCTGGACCTCAGTTTCCCCATCTGTGAAAGGGAGTGAACACTTCAGGCCCGACACCGTGGCTTGCTGGGAAGAGTCTCAGAGCAAGAACCGGGATCTCTGCGTGCAGCTTCCATCTGATTTTGAATCAGTTTGCTGGCTCACTGGAGTTCAGTGGTGGGGGGTTTTCTTTCTGTGGGTTATATAGCCAGTTTTAGGCAGATAGTGAGGAAAGTCATTTTGGTAATTTCCTGGCCCATGGAATATGCCCTCTGTAGCAGCTGTAACCCCCCACCCCCCAAGTCTCATGAGACACCTTGCTTTCTCACCTGGTTCAGCTGGCCTGGCCGTCAGCGTCTCAGCGTGAGTGCTGACTCTTAGGATAAGGGGCGTGGATGCCTGCTCTCTTGGCTAACACACCTGCAGCCTCTGGCCATGGCCTGGTGCCCACAGCCTGCCAGCCCGCTTTGGAAACGGGCAGGGAACCGCCTTGCCTGGCCCGGCTGGCAGCGAGCTCAGGCAGGGATGCAGGGAGCGCCCGGCCCTCGCTCCAGGGCGCACACCTCCCAGGGCATGGCGCCCCGCACGTCCCCTGGGCCTTGCTTCCAGCCCGTCTTGGCTGTGTTACTCTTTGGCTCGCCTCTGACGAGGACTGGTTCTGTCTCCCTTCCTGTGCTTGCCTGTGAGGTGATTGTCTAAAAATAAAAGGCCTGGATTCTGGGTTAATGCACCTTCAAGTCTGTGCATAGGTCACACGTAATAATAGTTACTCTCTGGATGCCAGGCATTGTGCTGAGCGCTCGCTCTGCAGCATTACTCCTCACTCATCCCGGCTGTCCTGAGTACAATTTTCCACTTTAGAATGAGGAAGCTGGGCGTCTGAGAGGTTAGGTTACGTGTCCAAGGTCATAAAACAGTATAGCAAGGGCCTGAACCTGGGCTGTGTGCTGCCCGAGTCCCTGCTTTCGGCTCTGCACTGAAGCGCTGTTTTAATGTGCGGGTTAGAGCTTCCGTGTATAGCCAGAGCCCTCGCCTGCGGTGCGGTCTCTCTGTGATGCGGGCAGCTGGTCAGAGACACAGATGCAGCCTGCAGGGAGATGATTTAGCTTTGGTTTCCTTTTCCAGCTTCCTGTCTGGTGGATTCTCTAGGGCATAGAGGAAGGTGATTGACGATTAAAAAATTACCCAAATGAGCGGCATTTCTCACTGTGCTTCCTGTTCCCTTTCTCCTCTCCCCCCATCCCTGTGTTCACCTGGAAAACTACATTATTCCAGTGACCCTGTGTCAGATGTTTCTATAGCTCCTCTTTTTCTGATGATGTGCACATAGCACATTATCTGGACACTATTTTCTGAGAAGAGAAATTGGTCCTTGAAGTTGGGTGTGATTTTTTTTTTTCCTTTTTCCTTTTGGAAGCCAAAAGTGTTACCTGGAGCCGGGTCTGATGAATTAACTGCAAGTGTTTAATTTTTGGATATAAGGAAGTAGCTCTAAAGAAGAATTTTTGTTCATTAGCCTTAAAGTGCCCTCCTGAGTGGTACGGTTCATGGTGGTCATGCTGGTGGATGGCGTGGTGGTATCAAGTCTTTCAGGTAACCATGTTAGAGCCACGTTTAGCCCAGGTTGGACAGACTTCTGCAACAAGCCAGCTAGCCATTGTTTGAGGTTGTGCAGGTTGTACGGTCTCAACTCCATGCTGGTAGCGTGAAAGCAGCCTTGGACAATATGTGAGCAACCAGTTGTAGCTGTATCCCTGACATTTTATTGGTGGGCACTGAAATTTTAATTTCATATCATTTTTACGCATCATGAAGTTATTTTTCTTTTGAATTTTTTTCAACAACTTCAAAAGGAAAATCCATTCTTGAGCTCATCGGGATGATAGAAAGGTGGGCAGTGGGCTGGATTTGGTCTCCGCTGGTACAGGTTATCAGACTTACAGCTAGATGGCAATAATTCTGCCCATGCAGGAGTGGGCTAGCCCGTGCAGTATATTTTTATAGATTGTAGCCATAAATGGCTGAATGGGCTAATCAACAAGAGGGACTGAAGGTGGCTGAGGGTCTGTAGCATCAGCTTCTGGTGTGGGCTCTGGTTAGTCTTTTCCCACACCAGCTACCCACCCTTGAGTGCATGTTATCACTTAAAGGTTAATTATAGCTAAGTAATACCCAGTCTTTGAAGTATTCTAAAGTAGGTGTCAGACTCCTTAGATTGCTCGTCTTACAAAGTTTAGCCTTGTAGGAGGATCCTAGCTGGAGAAAGGGGTGGCTCAAGGAGAATCTGCTTTTGCTTCTAATGGGAGGGTCTTCAGCATGTCTAAATGCTGATGGGTAGACTCCAGGGGAGGAGGTCGATCACGTGGGAGAGATGATAAACGATGGGGAAAGGGCAGGTGGGAGGGAGCCCTGGGTGGGCGTGGGTGGGCCTCGGATGGGAGGGTGTGAGGGGAGGCTGGGTTACGGTGCACACACACAGAGCTCAGGTGCCCCCTGCTCGGGGGGCGCTCCCTGGCTCAGCTCTCTGGGGCCTTCCTCCTCCGCTTGTCCCTTCAGCAGTCTTGGGCTTTGCTGGAGATGATCCCTCATCCCTGGCTCTGCCCCGTTCTGGAAAAACTGGGCTGCAGAAGGTGCCATGGACTTGGAGACCCGAGCTGGCTCTTCATGTCCGTAGAGCCTGCCCTCGGGTAGGGGCCCCTGCTGAGGGGAGAGCAGAGAGGCACAGTCATGTGGCCTATGGCCGCTGGTTCCGAAAGGAGAAAGCACACAGATGCACTTTGGTTATCATGCTTCTGGTCGCTAGTCAGAGAATTCTCCTCTCCTGCAAGCGCAGGGAGAAGCTGCTGCTTCACACTAGACACAGGGCCCTGTTCTTGGGCCGAGAAGTGGGCAGAGGTGGGAGGAGGATGTCCCATTCTGTGTAGGGTCACGCTGTTTGGTCCTGCTCTGCTTGCCTGGGTGTGCCCCCTGCCAGGGTCTCCATCTCATTCTCTCTTATATCTTCAGTATCTAGCACAGCGCTTGCCACATAGAGGTGCTGGATACGTACCTGTGTGTGTATATGTATGCATGTATGTATACATGTATATCTATGTGTATGCATGTGTATCTGTATAGGTATGTTTGTGTGCATATGTGTGTGTGTATTTATGGTATTTATGTTTATATACATATATATATAAACAAATTCTTTGTGGCACCCTACAGAGTTTTGATCTAGGCTTACATTTTGTAGTACCTGAATTCTATGGTGAGTGATTGGTTGACTTAAAATATGAGAGCTCATTGAAATGAAACTCATAGGACCTGCCTCGACACCCCCAGAAGGGACCAGTCTTCTGGTGCTCCAGTAACACACATCCAGTGGTCATTCAGAGGTGGCTGCTTCCTGCTGGTGTAGACAACAGTGGCAGGCAGGAAATCGAGATTACAAGCTCAGGGTTTGGTTTTGAGTGGCAGCAGCCCGTAGCGGGTGACTTGGTCAAGCTCTTGATCTGGGCATACGTGATAAACAGAAGGGCCTTGGCTCCCATGTCAAAAGCAGATGGTTTGCTCGTTTGGCATTTTCCTCCGGGTCCTGAGGCTGCCCCTGTGACTGCACTGTGGGAACCCTGCCTGGCCCCTGTGGTCACGTGCGCCTCTGGCTCTGGTTCGTGTGTTTGGTTTGACCCTAGGAGGCTTGGGGAGAGACTTGTGAGATTCCATGTGTTAGGGTGCATACAGCTATCATTTTCCTTTTGTCTTTTGCTCACATTTCGGTCCACCTGGAGAATTCTCCACTTTCCATCTGGGTTGAGGTGTTCTGCCTTCTTGCCTTTTACAAAAACAATTTTTTTCTCTTAAACACTTTAAAAGGTATTAATAAAATATATTGAGGAAAAGGATTAAGCCAATTATAATTCTGTTACCCTTGAACAAATTAAAGAAAAAGTTTCATGTTAATTTCCAAATGCACATGTTTTTACATGCTTGAAATTTGTGGATGTAGTTATATCTGCTATTTCCACTCACTGCCATTTTCATGTGTGTGTGTGTGTGTGTGTGTGTGTATAATACATTTATTTGTGCTATATATAAATAGGTCTATTAGGTAGTGTGTATTAGGTATATGTTTATATGTATAACACACATGTGTAATGGATACATTAGACACATAACACACACATACATTTTATGTGTACATACATGTATTCTGCTCATACAAATCCTTTAATAATGCTTTAATATCTCTGGTTTAACAGGGACCGTGCATCCCTGTATTCTGTCATAGTATTATTGTCTACATTTGGTGAAGAAGGGCAGCAGCTGGGAAGTCTGAAAATGTATTATTTCATGCAAGTGCCTATCTCTTAGATCTGAATAAAATTCCTCCCAGAAGAGCTACCCATTAGAAAATTCTTACGACCTAATGAGTTTATTCGTATCCAAAACCCTCTCAGTAATTGGCTTGTGTTCTGCAGGTTCACAGAGATGCGGAGTCACAGCTGGTTTTGCAGGAGTGGAAGAAGGAGAGGAAGGAGATGAGGTAAGAGTGGCCTGTTGTGAACGGAGTGAATCCTTCACTGTGGCCCTGCCACTCAGCCCACACGCTTTCCCCAAGGTCGGCCAGAGGTGGGACTCGAAACAGTCTTACTTAGCTGCAGGGGGTGATTGTGACCCCCAGGATCCAGAACAAGCCAGCTGCCGTTAGTGATGAGTGACATTTCCTCGAGGCAGCAGCGAGCTCCCTCCCACTTTCCGCCCACCCCTGAGTTTGTTGTCTGTCTGTCCCTCCCTACATCCATCCCTCCTTCTGTCCCACTTAACTTCCCCGTTTGGGCAGCCAGCAGCCCAGCGTGGCCAGTGGGACAGTGTTGGAGGGGGCCCTGCACCGCAGTGAATCCTTGGGGCTCCTACGACGCTGGCGCTTATTTGTAACACTGCTGTGTTCGGCATGCAGTCACTTAGCTCATGATGCTGACTGATGAAGAAAGCCCATCTGCTGCCAGATGGGTGTGTGTCTTAAGGGAATGGTTATTCTTGAGTTGTTTTTTCTTTTTATTAAACTATAGCTGATTTACAATGTTGTGTTAGTTTTCAAGTATACAGCTTCAGATTCTTCTCCATTATAGGAAAGATTGAATATGTTGAATAACGATATCAAATATAGTTCCATGTTCTATATAGTAAGTAAATCCTTTTTGTGTATGTATTTTATATAGTGTCTGTTCATTATATAGTGTTTATATAGTGTGTCTGTTTATCTTACACTCCTGATTTATCCCTCCCCCTCTTCTTTTTGCTTTGGTGCCCATAAATTTGTTTTCTCTGTCTGTGAATCTGTTTCTGTTTTGTAAATAAGTTCACTTGTGTTATTTTTTTAGATTCCACATATAAGTGATAGGTGGTATTTGTCTTTCTCTGACTTAACTTCACTTAGTGTGATAATGTCTAGGTCTGCCCATGTTGCTGCAGATGACATTATTTCATTTTTTTTTTCTCATGGCTGAGTAATAATCCAGTATGTGTGTGTATATCTGTATGAAAAGTGAAAATGAAGGTGTTAGTTGCTCAGTCATGTCCGACTCTTTGCGACCTCTTGGACTGTAGCCTGCCAGGCTCCTCTGTCCTTGGAATTCTCCAGGCAAGAACACTGGAGTGGGTAGCCATTCCTTTCTCCAGGGGATCTTCCTGACCCAGGGATTGAATCTGGGTCTTCTGCATTGCAGAAGCCATGGCTTGGCTCAGAGCATCTGGTGCTTAATTCAGGCTAGATGGTAAAGATTTTAAAGGAGCGGTTATTCTCAAGAGGCCTTGTGGACAGTTGTGCTTCCCTGTAGAAGCGGGTGCTGTGTGTGTGGACAGGGCTGATGTGGCCATTTCCACTCTCGTGGTCCCCCTCACCGCTCCTCAGGCGGCATAGCTGTCTCTAAGGTTTGGCGGTAGCGCTCACTGCCTGGTTCTGACCCCTGAGCAGTGGGCAGTCTGGTGGGACTGGTGTGCTTGGAAAGGGGGGAGAGTCCATTCCTCTGGGCTGCAGAAGCCACGGCTGTACTGAATTGATCCTCCTACCTTTCAACGTGTTGGTTATTGGGAATGTATTGGTTATTATAATGTGATTATTGATCTGAAATGTTGGGTGAGAGGGTGATGGGCATATGATGCATATATGCTTATAATGCAGGCTTCAAGGAGGTGCTTGAAGCTCTGTATTAGATGGCAGAGGTGTGCTTACATCGCTGTAATATAATCCTTAATCTCTTAGACATAAAGTACTTTCGAGTTTATGATACACTCTTATTTCTCTTACCTTATGTAGTTCTCACTATAACCTCACAAGAAAGGGGCCTTGATCCTGTTCTATAGATGAGGGATCCTGTTCTATAGATGAGGGAAGTTTGAAGACTGTGGGAATATACTCCATTTCTGTGAACTTTCAGAAGTGGCTCTGGCACCTTCCATTTTTGTTTGGGAAATGGGGTGTGCATGTTTAGGGGCTCACAGCTTGCCTCTGGAGCCTTCAGCTGTGTTCTCTCTACTGGCCTAAGTGGGGAGTGTGGTCAGAACCATTTTGATGGCTGAACAGACTGTTTTCCCAATTAGAAGTCAGGGCTGCTCTAGGCAAATTTTAGTCCTATGCATATGAAGTAGGAAGTCAAGAAACACCTGGAGCAACAGGCAAATTTGGCCTTGGAGTACGGAATGAAGCAGGGCAAAGGCTAATAGAGTTTTGCCAAGAGAATGCACTGGTTGTAGTACACACCCTCTTCCAACAACACAAGAGAAGACTCTACACGTGGACATCACGAGATGGTAAACACTGAAATCAGATTGATTATATTCTTTCCAGCCAAAGATGGAGAAGCTCTATTCAGTCAGCAAAAACAAGACCAGGAGCTGATTGTGGCTCAGATCATGAACTCATTATTGACAAATTCAGACTTAAACTGAAGAAAGTAGGGAAAACCACTAGACCATTCATGTATGACCTAAATCAAATCCCTTATGATTATACAGTGGAAGTGACAAATAGATTTAAGGGACTAGATCTGATAGACAGAGTGCCTGA